AATAACAATCATCATTGGCTGTGACAAAGGCCATATAATGGGGCCGGCAGGTGGCGCTGCGCAGCAGAGCGCGGGGCGCGCCCGAGCCCTGTCAGGGTCCTGACATGGATCGGAATGGATTTAATTTCCTTTGCTTAAATACTCGCGGTTGTGTCATTCCAGAAGGGTTTTCTGATGTTTCCACCAGTTATTAGTGGAAATCTGGAAAAAAATGGCGTTTAAAAGGCATTTCACGCATTGTTTATGTAGTATGCCATGAAAGGCCACCTGCCTGTGCTCCTCCACATAAAACTGAGCAATCTTCCTTTAAAATAGATAATATAAATATTTGACACGGCATAAACTAAAAGAAAGGGGCCAGTGCCAGTAGAATGACTAAATTTAGCTTGTTCCCTCCACTCTGTTCCTGGCTCTGTGAACAAAGATGTCAAAAAGCATAACATCAGTTCCACTGATCTTCCCTCCAACAAATGTATCTTGTAGAAGAACTGCACTCATTTGACAGTCACGTGGGCAATTCTCAATGACTGGTTCCTGTGGTATTTACTGTCAAAATCAGAATTCTTTGTTCACCAATGCACTTGCTCCATTATATGGCCTTTGTCACAGCCAATGATGATTGTTATTCAACTATGGGGGGTTTCTTCCATTTGATTACACTAAATGTATGTCCAAGACCATGCAAGCCTGTAACAGATTTAGAAATTTGTTTGAAGACTCTTTTGGTCTTCATAAGCTTGATTTCTTTAAAATCATATGGAAAATGAGAAATGCTGTGAATGGTATTTCTTTCTTGGGTATTAACTGTTAACTTTTTTAAAATAAGAAACTTTTCCCCCCTTAGTTGAGAGCAATATTTTAAGAAAATCTAAAATATTTCAACAATTCATTCCATGCTTCTTTAATGATGATTTTTGTTTTAAATGTCTGCAGAATTTCCAATGTGCTGCTCTGTAATGTGACAGACCGGGTGTCCTTTTGGTTTGTAGTCACAGATTCTTCCAAAAACGTGACAACTGTTCCTGGAAGTGAGGTAGAGGCGGCCATCAGGTACAGTCACTGCTTTTGCAATGTTTTCTTCCTAGTTTACTGAGGATGTTTTCTCTCTCAGGGCCTTGTATGAATTTTGCATTTTTAAGGATGAACTAATCCGAGTTGCTAAAACACTGAGGGGTCAGTACTCTTTAATGAATGTGGGATTAGAGGGTGTTTAAAAGTCCCACAGAATGTGAAGAATGTGGGCCTTGTGATTATAACTTTGGAAAGAGTCCTTGTTGATGCTGGAGACTCAGAAGTAATCTAGTCCCTTTCCAGAGCCCTCCCTGTGATGTGCTGTCCAGTGTGTGGCACACTGCTCTCATCCAACTGCTGCATTTCCCAGTGAGACAGCCTTCTTCCTCAGGTGATGGAAGGGCACACTTTCTGGATGTGATTAATATAATTTATTTTTCAGTGCATGCTACATGCACATCTATACCTGGGCTAATGACTATAGGCTCCCTTTCAGTGCTTCTCACTAACAGATCACCTGACTTAATTTAGAAGTCAGCTTTCACATGAGAAGAACTCGTGTGAATTCCTCATGAGCAGAGCTGACTGTGTCCTATCTTGGTTTAAGCAATCTTATGCTCACATTCTTGTCATACCAGCTCATTCTAGAATGCCAGTCAATATCACATCTGAGCATTGCTTGTACAAAGTACAGCGCACTACAAATCACTTTGTTTTCTACGATCACATTCTGTAGCAAGTAAAAGGAAGAATGTGGAGCTGACAAGAAAAAAAGAAAAATAGGGTAATCTGACTTCAATGGTAAAAAAACCCCCTGCACTAGGGGTTTATAGGGATGAGTCCCTCAAGCAGCATAATGCACATATATTTCTCAAGCATGGAGTGGAAAATGGATCTCTTTGTTTTCAGGCATTCTGTGTTCTGTCTTGAAAATTTGTGTTATCTCTATGGAGGTGTAATGCCTAATTCCTGATGAATGAGTATGCGTTCTTTTGGAAAGATTAATTTAAGCTTATGAGCAGATTAAACTATTTCCTACAGAGACACCAAACAATAGCTTCATAGCATTAGTGGAGAAGCAGATTATTTATTCACTGAAGCTCTCTGTAAGAGTGCTGGAATTGCGGGGGTTTTGCATTTCTGTTATTCTTTGATACATTCAGTAGCATAAGCTGATTTATTTAAGTCTTTTATGTGCCCTGTTTGGCACAGAAATTGGAGGCTGTTATTGTTTGGTTTTTAACTGTTGTCTGTCACCTGATAAAGAATATGCTATTTATGAAAAGTTTTAATTCCTACCTAATTTAAAAACAAGAAATAAAATGCACTATAAAACTACAATGCTTTTTTTTAATTGCTTCTGATTGCAGGCTTCCATACAAAACCTTTGTTATAATTCTTTATGCTAGGGTAGCACATAACACTAGTCATGGACTAGAATTTTGTTGCATGAGATTTCTACAAAGTAAGAAAAAAGAGAAAGGTAAACCATGTCAGAGTTCTGTATGATACTCAAGATTTTGCATAAATATACACAGTACATAGTTATGCATATAGAAATGTGAGATGCATTTGTAGTTGCCTGCATGTGTTTCAGCACATAGTTCTGAAATTCAGGCCATTGGATGAGCGTAAACAATGCTTATTTCAGCTGTTCACAATGATCCATTCATATCAGTAAGGAAATCTTTTCTAAATGGCAGACAGCTTATGGAATTATGAGTCTTAAAACATGCCATGGATTTCAGTCCTGTCCAGGAATGCTGACTTTCTATTAAGGCTAAGAACTTCCTGTTTAAGGGACAGCCAAACATTATGATTTCCAAGAAGAGATTTTTTTTTTAAAATCTTACCTGTATTTCCCATACATTTTTTTCTTAGGAAGTACTTGCTCTGTGGTAAATAAATTGAATTGTATACAAAAAAGAGCTCCATTAATTCATAAAACTGCTATCAAAAATAAACTCTCAAGACCAGTATATGTAATCCATTTGCTTAAAAAATTTTAACATTTTGAAAAAGCCTATAAAAGATACTTCTAAAGCCTCTTAAGCCTGCTTAGATTTAGATCCAGAAATATCTTACAGGCAGTGAAATGCTTACAGGCAGAGAAAATAGGTGAAGATATCTGCTGAAGGATAGCAGTTGTACTACTTCTGTGAAAAAGCATATTTCTCAGACTTACAGTTTCTCATATGGAAATGGAAAAAATGTGGAAAGTACAAATCCCTTTAGCTGCGTCCTTTAGCTGCTGCAGGGAAGAAGGACATGTTAACAATAGGTGTGGATTCTTCCAGACCAAATTGTTTCCTGTGCCTCATAGATCTAGGAAAATCTACACTAGCAGGGGCAGATGTACCAGCCCATAACATGCAGGATGGCTCAGTTTGAGGGACTAGGGGACAACTGCAAGTAAATCCTGCAAGCATTGAAGGGTAGATCTGCCACTCCTGTGCTAATCTTGAATGCTGCATGAGCAAGGCAACAGAGCCAGTCTTACAGCTTACAAGCTGCTATGTCTTCAGGACATGGTTCAAAACAGAAATAAATAATAATACCGTACTTCAGGTCTCATCTGTATTTCCCAGATTTTCAGATAAATGCATATGAAACTCTGGTGTTCCAAATGTTCTAAGTGTGTGGGTGTCTATGGATTACTGAGGTCTCTGTTATAGTCAAAGTCTGTGTAATCCTGCCAACATCATAGAATTACAGAATCATTTAGGTTGGAAAAGACCTCCAAGGTCATCAAGTTCAACCTTTGACTGAACCACCACTGGGTCAAGCAGACAATGGCATTAAGTGCCATGTACAGTTGTGTCTTGAGCACCTCCAGGGATGGTGACTCCACCACTCCCTGGGCAGCCTTTTCTGATGTTTAACCACCCTTGCAATGAAGAAAAATCCTCCTGTTGTCCAGCCTGAACCTCCTCTGATGCAGTTTGAGGCTATATCCTCTTGTCCTGTTGCTGGAGAGAAGAGCCTGATCCCCACCATGGTAGATAACATCCTTTTCTTCATCATGCTGGATGACATTCAGCCCTGACTAAATTGCAGCACATTCATGAAAAATCCTTTTATTTTCCGCTATCTTTTCAACTTGTAAAGTGCTTTTATAAAGAGTTGTGATGTTTTTCTGTTTATTTGGGTTTTTTCTCTTGAAGGATGAACCGGAACAGAATCAACAATGCCTTCCTACTGAGTGACAAAACACTGCAGTTCCTGAAGATAACCTCAACCTTATCACCTCCTGTTGAACCCTCTACTCCCGTCTGGCTTATTGTATTTGGTGTTGTTCTTTGTCTCATTGTGGCTGGGATTGTTTTCCTCGTTGTTTCAGGGATTCAGAAACACAAGAAGTAAGCAGCCTAGTCTTTCTTCTGTTTTAATGGAATACTTGTTAGTAAGGTCTGTGTTTCAGAGCAGCCTCAGACAGATTAATGCTATGCATCCTTCACTGGCTAGGTAAAGATAACCTATCTCTTCTTTTCTGAAGAAAAGACTCAAAATTTTAAACTGTTAAGTATGGATGCCTTAGTAGTTTTGGGATATAATGAGGAAATGGAGAATGTAAGAATATGATCTTGGAGGCCACCTAACTGGAGATGGGCTTTAAAAGGACAATTGATGTCAGTCTTGTGAAGGTTTATTGTGGCATGGGTGAGTCTCCTCTCACAGACCACCCCCAAAAAGCTACCAAGAAGGGGAAGGCTGGCAGTAGTGTCAAAAGCTGGTACATGAAAAACCATGCTGCTGCAGCTTGAGAAGCCTTGTAGAGCACACAGTAATTATTAATTTATGGCTGAAGAGGGCCTGCTTGCTGGAACAGAGCAGGGTTTCATTTACCACTCATGACCTGATGAGCCCAAAATACCCAGCCCTTCACAAGTTCATGGGTAGATCTCCCCATGAGTTTAGGAGTTTTTTCTGGTGGTAGGGTAGGAGAGAGATACTCTCTTTTCCTCTCCATTTCCATCCTGGTGGCACTGGTGAAAAAGAGAAGGGTATTCATGCTTCCCTAGTGTGAGCATGTGGGAACAACACAGAGAGCAGGTGAAATTTTGATCTTGCCATCTCTGCTAGCTCTGAGTTGAATATAAGGAATAGAAATTTCTCAGCTGAGTTGAGATTCTGCCATAGAAGTTCAGCTTCTGCCATGCTTTTGGCTGCCACAGAGTTTAGGTTTACACAAAATTCTGACTTCAGCAATAGATTTATACAGGAACAACAGAAGAACTGAAAAAGGGTAAATTCTTGTTGATAACTAGATATTATCATTAATATAAAAATTAATGACTGTATAATGGATTGTATCCCCAAATATATCAGAGCAGGGAATTAATATATGAAAAGTGGCATGTTGCATAGACTTTTCCATTCTGCCTCTTTTCAGTTTTCAAAGAAACCCCACAAAATTCAGCAAACAGTAGATGAAAGATGTTGCTGGGGAAAGAGTCTGGGAAGATATTTGGAATCTGTGGATAGTTAAAGCTTATCACACTCGTGTTGTATGGACTGAATTATTTAATGCCCTAAACATAGGCAACCTCTTCTGTAAAACTGAATGATGTTGCCACCTGAAGCCCATATCTGTCCTCTGTGGCATCATGGCTCTGTGTTTCTTTATAGTGCCTAACTTTAAGGGGATCTTTGAACATTTTACATAAATGTAATATAAATAAACTATAATAAACAGTTGTGGTTTTTCTAGCCAAAATAATCACTTGTGCTTCATATAATGCTGAAAGATGGGATTTCCTTCTGTATTTTCAAAATAACTCAGCTGAGTTTGAGCAGTTCCCCTCAATATGGTGTAAACCACATGCTCTTATCATCACACTGCCATTAATATGGCTTGTTGCCGCTGGCCTGTGCTCACTTAGCACCCTCTCCATCCCATGCTCTTCTTTTAGTTGCTATGCTTTTTTCACTTCTCCCTCTGTTTCCCTACTCTTCCATTACATATAATCTTTCCTCAGGGCAGGTTCATCTGTAGCTGAACTCTAACCCTCCTTTCACATCAATAACATGTGCAGGCAGGGGTGGGGAAGTGAGAGAGAGGGTGAACCAAGCATATATTTCTTCTATCTACTGTTGCAAGGACTGGAGAGGTAAAAGGGATGGTCTGGGCTGTTTGGCTACCTAGGAAAAAAAAAAAAAAAAAGCCAGACATCAGAAAAAAGGATTTCAAAAGTACTGATTTCTTTGTCAGACACTGAAGTGACCAGGTGTTCAAAGACTTCAGCATGTCCAGTAATTAGTTTTCTTACAAGTCCATCCAGAGTTTACATAATTGGAACTCTCTTGTCTAGTAAACTGTGTTGGAACTCTGGCCCCAAGGATTGTGTTGGCTTCTCATAAATCTGGCATTTTGTCTTTAAAGGCAGTTTAAAGTACCATTTAAATACCTCAGTTCAGATAAGACCAAAAGCACATGCTCCAGGCTGTCCATGCTCAGGGTGTCAGGGAGGAGGAATCTGCCTACAGAGGAGTTTCAGTATTGAGTTAGACTCATGCATCATTTATTGAACTGAGAGGTTTGTTGAATTCAGTGCCTACAGAGAGCTGGGTCAGACACACTGTCTCCCAGCCTTGTGTTTGTTCTCCCATCCTTGCAGCAATAGGACACCTCCCCCTACAGCAATAGGTTTGGCACATGCCTAGGGGCAGGATCATCCTCTACAGTCTATCCTGAGCTAGCCCAAAGTCTCCCCTTATCCCTCAAAATCCCATCTGCATCAGGGGCTGTAAACATTTGCCTTGGGAAGAGTGAAAACAGAGTAAGCACACTGTCTTTCCCTAAATCAGTTCTACCAGGAATTAATTTGCAGTTGTGGGCCTTCCTCAGCTGGATTTGGACTTCTTGTATTGGGTAACTCACAATGTTTTCTCTTCCCTTAACTTGTTGAGTCACCCCTTGGATTCATGGAAATTTTCAGCTTCTCTGAATTCCTCTGGTAATGAGTTTCACATGTCTTCTACTCCTCTCATTTCTTTTGAACCTCCTTCTTAGTAATTTTTATGTTCTGTCCTCACAGTTCTGTATTAAAGAACACGCCTTTTTATCAGTATAAGCAGCCAGAGGTCAGAGGTTTCCGCTACTACACCCCAAGTTTATTTTAACAAGTCTGTAATGTCAAGTCTCCCAAAGGCCAATACATTTTTATTATTGTTAATATCTCTGTCATTGGCAGTTACACTGAGTCAGATTTTTACAGTTGTCCTGAGTCAGATTGTTACAGTGCATGTTGTGGGATAGGAAGAAGCGGTGCAGTTGACCTTTGAGTTTCTTGTCCTCTGAAACCGCTGATGCTGCAGGCCATAAAGTACTGCAGGATTTTCAGCTATGAACTAATTGTTCTCAAGGTCAGAGTAAATCTGGAATTAAAGGAACATCATGACCTGTTGACTGATATTTGTTTATTACATCTCCTCATTATTGTATTTTACATAACTTTTTTTTTTTTTTAAATGTAGATAATTTTATTCAACCATTATTTTAATATGTTTTTAGGACAACTGAAGCCTGGAAAAGTGAAAGCCATGCAATTGTTTGATCTAGAAAACGGAAGTGTAAAATACTGGGTAGGAAAGTGGCTGATAATGTAGTTTAAAGAAAAATTGCAGATTTGCAGCATTGAGATTACCTAAGAAAGTAGTCATGAATGTCCTGAAGAAGGTAATCATGGATATGAGGGCAACTAAGTTTCCACATTTGAAGGCTATAGTTAGTCTAAGACTGATCTGTTTCTAAAAAATATGTTTTATTTTGTACAGATCATGGGATGTGATCTATGATGTACATGACAGGGTCAGACTACATGCTTAATGTAGACCTTCCTGATGTAAAAAAACCCAAACAGATTTAGAGATTTTTTTCAAATTTTGTTTTGCCCCAGCTTTTCTTTTGCACCTTCTAGTCATGTTGCAGAATAAGAAGGTGAAATAATATTTAAAATGTACTTACAACATGTCTACTTCACTTTTTCTGATCTCCAGTTCTGATCTCAAACTGCTAAGGGCTTCAATCTGTGTGTCCCTCAGCTACTGTATTTAGATAAACCCATCTGGTGTATTTACTACAGCAAGGAAGTACACCAGATTGTGCCTTTAGGAGCATAACCTATGGCAAACTTCTAACTAAATATGCAGTTTTCTTTCTGTGGAATCATGGTGGAGTGCTGCAGGTCAACAGAATAAGATTATTTTTTCTTTCTTGTTTTTAGAAAGAATAAAGAGTCAACAGAGAGAGAAAATTTAGAAGAGAAAGATGAAGTGACACTAGAAAATGGGATTCCTTGTGAAGCACTGGATTTAAAAGCAGGCCACATTAATGGGGTCTTTGCAGCAGATGATGAACGGTTCACATCCCTATGAAAAGCTGCCACTGCTCCTGGGTGGTTTCCTGAAAGACTCCTTTGCCTGCTCCTGCTCATTCACTACTCCTGAATGTCAAACATGAAGACAAGAAAAACGTCCTTCTACGTAATTTCCCTTGAGAGAACCTTTTGCTGATAACACATACACTTGAACCTCCATTACAGTTCTTTTTCATGAGCAACGCAAATAAGAAGGCCTCAGATAATATCCATAAAAGATTTCCGGAAGATGTGTGGCAGAACAGGGTTGGAACCTGCCTTGTGCTAGACATCTCATTTTTAATGATTATTTAAATATGTCCATTGTTTGTTTTTCTCTGACATAAATGTGAAACATCAGTATTCTTGAATCTCACTGGTGAGCGCATCTATCATTGCCAATTCTTGATGGGTTTTTTTTCAAGCCATATGCAAAAGTTTCTCTGTAAAATTACTTCTGTTTGCTGCTATGTAGTATGCCTTTGGATGGAACAGTCAACAGTGCATGACAGTTTTCATATATTGAGAAACAAAAAAGATTTCACAGCCTCTTTAAGACCAGGTCAAAATACCTGGATCATCTATAGCTCTGGGGCTAGAAAAAAACGGTACTAGAAGTGTTTTTCACTTAACTGTCAAAGTTACAGATTTTGTGAGCTGGCAATTAAAAGTTGCAAAACTCTGAAATTTGTTGAAATTAAAAGTTGCAACAAAGGGCAGATTTTCCACAGATGCAGTCAGTGTTTAGTGGCTCTCACTAAATCATAGAATCACAAGCCAGCCTGGGTTGGAAGGGCTATTAAGATCATCTAGTTCCAATCCCCCTGTCATGGGCAGGGACACCTTCTGCTAGACCGAGTTACTCAGAGCCCCATCCAGTCCAGCCTTGAGCACTTTCAGGGGTGGGACATCCACAACTTCTCTGGGTGTTTTGTCCCAGTGCCTCAGCAATCTCACAGTAAAGGATTTTCTCCAAATATCTAATCTAAACCTGCCCTCTTTCAGTTTGAAGCCATTTCCCCTTGTCCTGTCGTTATATAGAAGCCCTGGTAAATAGTCTTTCACAGCTCTCTGGAAAAGTCTTGCTTTCAGTTTTTAATAATAAAGCTAGAGTAGATTTCCAACATAGCTAGCATGGGGTCAGATGAGCCTTCATGTTCATGTGATAGGTGAATAACTTTTGAAAAGATTCAAGGTGTGAAACACCAACTTCTGTGTTTGGTATGCCTGACCTGGATAAGTGATAAAATTCTGTCTGTCTCAGAAGCACTGGTCCACTGAAAAGGGGAGTTTTGTGTGTGGGTAACTATAAAAACAGAATGGAAATGTGTTGAAGCAAAATATCTGCAGTCACCAAGCATCTGCCCACATCACTGGATTTGACCATTAACCATCCCATTTCCAGTGTCATGTTTAGATGCAATATTAGAAAACCTCTTTGCTTATTAGGAGTGTTTAATCAGACTCCTCACCAACAGAAACAGGCTTAAACAGAGGAAAAGCTGCTTGTAAAGGACCATCTAGTGTCCTGAAGGGTACAAAGGTTTCTTGTTTCCCAGGGTGGAAATCCTTCAGCCTTTTGGCTGTATTGAGCACCTTTGACTTGTCTCAGTACTGGCTCTTAGGACCAGTGTCAGCAGAAAGGGAGGAATGGGAAGGAGAAGGGAAAGCAGCAGGGTGAAAGGGGAAAGCTGAGCAAGGGAAGCCAAAGGCTGGGGGAGGCAGGGGATACAATACAAAATAAATACAAATTTAAATACAAATACAAAATAAATACAAAATATAAAAATAAATACAAAATAAAATTATAGAACCCACTAATCATTTGCATCATGTGATCTCATTTGTCACAGTTGTCTTTGATGTCCTGCTGGTGGGTCTCTCTGGACAAGGACTGCATCATCTCTGTCCCAGTGTGTGCTGTTCTGTTCTGGGAAGGATTAATAAAGTCAGTTATTAGTGATAATATCTCAGTGCTTCAAAATTACCATCCACAAGATGTGGATGTATTTCTCACAGGAATGTTGAAAATGAAGCTTGACAGTGTTGGAGGGGAAATACAGAGTACAGTGTTATTATTACTCCTTCAGTCATTGCTCCAAGGTCTCTCATGTAGGCAAGGTTTTATTGAGGTAATTCAGATCCCATCCTTTCTAAACATTCATACTTTTCCCATTCTTTGCATGACAGATAGCTACACCTCAGTGTGGCCACAATGAATTGCTGTGACTGCAGCACTTCTGCAAGAACCTGTGAAAGATTTTGGTGAGAACAGCTTAGTGGTGCAAGAGCAACCTCAAGCTACAGATTAAGAATTGCTGTTATCCTGTATTGTACTGTATGATACTGAAATAAAATTCTCTTGAGATGAGAAAGGGCCAGGCTTATCTGAGCATACTTCTTTCTTAAGGCCTGAAAAAGGTTCAGTTCAGCCCATGGCACTGGCCACCAATTTGAAAACAGACTGAAATCCCCTAAACAAGACATTAAGCAATGTGGGCTGACTGTGGTGGTAAGTATTTAATCAGTGTCTTCCTTACAGCTCACCTTTTAGCTGCATAATTACTTTACAGCAGTTTGGCTTAATTTTCTGCTAATGATGATATAGGAATCACCCAGAGCACACATCTAGCTTGCCTCTCTGCTGACAGAAAATGGCTTGAGAAAAAGAAATGATATATGAGCAGCCATATACCACATTTAGGAACACTTTGAAGTCAGTGTATGTATTAGCTCTTTCACTGAAATAGATACCACAAATGAGGATAATCAAGGTCACAGTGTTACAGAAGAAATAAATCTCTTTTCTAGTCCACAGTAGGATCATATTAGAAAACAACACTTTGATTTTGTACAGCCTGTCCTCCAGAGCCTGCAAATGGTGCAACAACAATTTATATCCCTTGAGGATCTGACACAGATGTTTTATGTAACTTCCACTTTTTTTTTTTCTCTAAAGCACCTGCATCCAACCTCTGATAATAAACAGCAAAGTGAGTAACAAGCAATATAGACTATATGGAGAATTGCTTCCTAAATCAATGAGTTGGTTCTGCTTTCAGTTATATTGGCATTTCATGCCAATGAATTTTGAAAAAAGGTACATGGTGTGCCCAAGACTGAACTGTTTCATTTTCAAGAGCTGTTTTTGAGAAAAGAGAGGAGAAAGGAAAATTCAATTAAGTGAAGCAATAAACCCAGAGAAGTTTTGTTTGAAGAAAATCTGCAACATTTAGCATTAGCTCCACATCCCTGGCAAGTCAACATTTCAGAAAGGACATGTCCAGTTCTGTTCAGCTTACTTGAGAGAGATCATTGATGTCTAGACTAGGATGAGCACAAATCATGCATGAGTAAGTTGTTTACACTGTCAGTCAGCTACACATTTGGAGTGCTGAAGAAGATCAGTGTAAAGGGTCTCTGTGGTACTCAGCCCTAAACATCTCTATCAGCCCACCTTGCAGCCTGGTACTCACGGCCGGACCTGGTATTTCCCTGGGGCTCTGCCAGCACTGAAGAGCCTGCAGGGATGAGCTCTCAGGCCTCATGTACATTTTCTGCTCCTGTTTGTCTGTCCAGGTACAACATTTGTTTCTGTCATTCTGATCTTCATGGAGAACTCTTTCCTGGCTGAGCCGTCATAAAGTAGCATCTTTATTCTACATTTTGAGGGAACTCAGTCCATTGTTTCTGCTGTTGTTCACAAAAGAGATGGGTGAAGTGGGCTCAAGAAGCCTCAGGGCAGGATTCAAGGCCTTTTCCTTCATCACTGTGAGTACAAAATAATTCCCAAATTAATACAAATCACTGTATTAGCACAAGAGCTTTTGGTTTGATAATTTCTTTCAAGAACTGGGTGCCAGTTTTGACCAAGAAAGGAGAGTTATCACATCTTGACAGAAAGAGTTTTTCATGAGTAAGCTCCCACATTTGGGAAAACAAAAGAAATTACTTTCAAGCTCAGGGAAGAAGTGCAACAAAGACGTGAAACAACACAGTGAAAAGTGGGAGTCTGTGATTCTAGATACTCTTAAATCATGGCTCAGATGCCCTCAGAAATTTGATCAGTTCATCAGAGCAGTAACCTGTGACTCATGAAATGAGCTGCTTTAAATACATCAAGCTTTTATAGAAAATGCATTGACCAACTGTCCGCGATCTATTAGTGGTGAGCAATCTGTGCTTGGCTTTCTATGAGCAGCTCCTTTTGGCGTCTCATGGTTTTTGTTTCCTTTTAATGTGGCATGCAAGAAGGGATGTGTGCAATGGAGTGATACCACAGCTTCCTACACAAACAGACAATTGCTAATGAAAAATTTGCACAGTTAGATATGCCTAATTTGACAGACTGAACTTGCTGATTTTCAAACCACATAAAACTAAATAAAGTACATCAGCAGTGATGAGTGGTTCACTCTTGCCAGCACAAATGTGTCAGTATGTTCAGTTTTGTGAATACATTAAACATTGTGGATGCACTTTGCATAAAAGACTTGTGTTTTAACTGGCTATTTTGTGTCTGCATTGATGTTTGTATCAGTCCAGAGTACTTTTGCCCATATAGCCCAGATCCAGCTTTGTTCTGAGTAAAGTAAGTATGTTCAGTAGGAACTGAATTTGACCTAAGATCAAAAAGCAAAGTTTGATTTTGTTAGTCTGTCCTATTCCTTCCTACCATGTTTCCCTTTCCCTTAGAGGTGGCAATTTGAAGCTGTCAAAGCATTGCTAGCTACAGCAATGGCTAAATGGAAAGCCTTTTATTTTGGAGAAACTGCAAGAGTGCTCTTGCATTATTTCTCTATCACCTTTGCTTTTCTTCTGTAATTTGAGTTATAATCACTACAAAGTACAGTATGTAGCTTTTATCAGTTGTGGACCAACAGGAATTTTAGACTTTGGACTAACGTTCTTGATGATATTGTATCTAAACAACTTTGCAGGTGCTGATGTATGAACACATGGTCACTGTAAAATGAACTGGGACCACTCGCTTAGTGAAACTGAAGTGAGAAACACATGTTGCCTGGATGCAAAGCCGTGTTTCAGAGGGTCAATTCCTTTCCCTTCATTGTTGGGGCAAGGTGTTTTTTGTAAAGGGAAAGGTGTAAGGGATGCAGAATATTATGTCCCATGAGTGGTTGCATGTATAAACCTTTATAGCCTATGGTTTTGATTTTTACTGTAGCCTTCAAAGTTGCACTTTATGATATCTAAATTTAACCTGCCAGTTTGTACACTTGTCTTCCTAAAAATCATTCAGCTCCTAAACTTTCTTCTAAACTTTGCAAAAACACTTTGGTTTCCTGATGCTTCAGGAAGCTGGCAGCATCTTTACACAGCTCCTGATGTCCTCAGATCTGAGGCTGGCCCCTGTGCACAGGGCACTGTCCCCTTGTCAGTGCTCAGCACTCTGACTTGGGAAACAGCCCTCAGCCTGTGGCAACCTCGGAGTGCAATGGAGCTGTGTGGAGGTGACAGCTTTTTTTAGGTCTGAAAAAGAAAAACAGAGAGCAAGCAAACTCAGCCTGTCTTGGGACAGGAGGTTATGGACAGATATGGATTAGTTGTCCAAGGCATTGGTCCCAGGCTCAGACCAGTGGAGTGCAAAGCCCTCGGTGCTCTGGGCGGTCACTGGGCAGTGGAACCAGCGGCAGGAGGTGGGTGCTCTCTATCAGTTAGCAGCACCT